GCACATGGCATCCGGGCAGCAGGGACAAGACTGCGTAGGCGGAAGATGTGGCCGTCTTGGTGCTGCAAGGCCGCCTGGGTGATCTGCTGTGGCGGGCCGTGGAGGCAGTGGGTGGCCCTGCGGGTGGGCAGGGCCGGGGGCAGGCCAGTTTTTGGGCACTGTCTCCAAAAGGTTCACCATCACTGGTATAGAGCTTCCTGCCTGAGCAGGGGGTTGGACTAGAAGACCTCCAAAGTCCCTTCCAACTGTGTTATTCTGTATTATGTATTACACTGTGCCATACCCCTATATATAGTGTTTTACATGACCTCTATCCTCCCTTATCCCCAAAATGTCTATTTTTATACAGGAGACATCACATGATTCATTTCATATTTGTTGGAAATCATCTAAGGTGGGTATTTGATAATTCTCAGGAAGAATGAAACTAGTCACATGGGCCACTCTTTTGGTTCCTGAAATTTCACAATGAAATAAACAAAGTAATGCAATTGCCATGAAAATGACATAAGATACTCTGCCTAGAAAGATATAGCTTTTTGTAACTGTATCACAATTAAAATATTATTTTTTGGGTATCTTTAGAACATCATGCCTCCCTTTTGGCCTTCCAAGAGAGCCTAAAGACTTGATTATGCCAATTGGACTTCCTGTGCTGACAGCCTCAAAGATTTTCAGGCACAACATGTATCTATTCCATATTCTTAATATGGCATGTCTAACAATGTTTTTTTAATCCACATTAATTTTGACATTGTCGTATTACAAATATCCATGCCACCCTAAAAGGCCTTCTATTTCTCAGCAATACCCATTCTTTCATCCAAACCCAACAGCAAGCTGCAAAATACCATTTCTAATCAGGTAGAAACAACATTTAGTGCTTTCTATGAAGTGTAAATTGATCTTTCTCACTTTGTAAAGTTCTCTCCATAGTTCATGTCTTCCAAAACCTTGAACCAGAAAGTTCAGTTCAAATGGTCAAAGACGTTCTCTTCGTTTGAGAAAATCTGTATGGCTTGTTTGTCATTTTGTTACTCCAAATATTCCAAAATAGCCAACATATTTCTGTCTTTTAAATAAAATTCCACACTGATTCTCATAAATAAATTCTTGTGGAATTATTTTCAATCTATCAGCTAGAATTGTTATAGGTCTGTTCATAATCTGCCTCTGCTCCTCTGTAAATCTCAGTAATTTTGTTTCTTTAGATAGTCATCTATTTTCTGTAGAGAAATGTCACCTCCTTTATAAGAAGTTGGAACAATATTGGTGAAATGCTTTTTGCATGACCGCATTATCCATTAATATAGTATGTCCCTTTTATAATTTCAGTATTATTTTCTTTCTGTAATTTATATGCTGGCCAGTGGAATCTTGTATTTTTTCCGATAGCATCTCAGTCTGCCTTAACAGAACAGAGATGCCAGACAGGATCAGCATAACTTTCCCAATATAATTAGGTGAGATTCAGCCAGTTCTCACCACTTCTGCAGAACCGGTAGCTAATTTTTTTTCCCCATATATTTTGATTTTTTAAAACATAAATCACTTAATATCTGGTAAACAGTGTGTTTGCTGGGTTTACATTTGTAAAGAAAAATCATTAACAATTGGTTTCTATAATCCATAACCCACATAGTATATTTAGTTGATTTCCCCTTTTCCCCAAAATGTCTTCTTTGCAAACCTTGAAATAATACAATTCTTATTACTTTGATAAATAACAGTTACATATATGATTTTTCCCAATATTCCTAGAAATAATGATCACATCAATATAATATTTCTTTTCTATCTAATCATTCTGGTTGCCTCATCTTATATCCTGTTACAGTCCTTATTTAGATTTGTTTCTCCCATTAAGTTCATAGTATTCTTGCTGGTTAAGATTTTCTCAACAGTTAATTACATTTAAAGATTTAAATCCATTTTTCCCATATAAACCATTTCAACACTTTTACATTTCTTAAAGAATATGTAAAAACAGTAAAGAAAAGGAAAAGAGAGCAAGAGTAAAGAAACATAAAAAGTAAAATACTACTTAAAATATATATTCCTCCTAAGCTAATATATATTCATTCCCAAAATTTCTTATTCTTTTTAACCATGATTAAAAATATATTTAATCTTTAAATATTCCATTTAATGTACCTAGTCATCTAATCCTTTAACTCTTATTCAAAACATTTTTTTCTTTTTTATACATTATAATTTCCCTAAATTCAGACACATTTATTATCTAAAACATTTCCTTCATCTAGGCCATTTCTGTGGTATTATATTACTTATATCAAGAAATAAAATAAAAAGCGGGGGGAAGCATACAGTATTATTTAAGGCAGGGCTTTTCAACCAGTGGTACGGGTACCACCTGTGGTACATTGGCACCTGGCAGGTGGTACGTGGCCATCCTAGAAAAGTAGCAGGGAAGGGGAATGAGCTGAACTGGTAGCAGCACCGCACAAGCCTGAGCAAGAGATGGCTGGAGCTGCAGGGCTGTCAAGGCTCAGTGGAAGTGCCAGGATCAGCGCTTCTTCGGGACTGTCAGGGCTCAGTGGAAGCACTAGGATCAGCGCCAGGCTCCAGCTGGAGTTCGGCGCTGATCCTGGCGCTTCTGCTGAGCCCAGAAGAAGTGCCGATCAGCTGGAATGTTGCAGCATCTCCAGGGTCTTGTGATTTACATTCAGATGCTTGGCCACTGATTCATATTTATGACGGTCACAGTGAAGTGACCAAAACCTGCTGCAACCACCCAGCAGACGGGGGGAATAAAAACCAAATACCCCCACCCCACCCTCACTGCCAATTCTCAACAGAAATGCTCACAACAGTGAAAACCTCGGACAGGAGGAAGAGCGCCGCCAGGTGGGCAGACAGGTGTCTTGCTCGGCTGTGCCTTGGGGGGCACTTTTTTCAGTGCCATTGTAACTTCGAACAGTCACTAAGCGAACTGTTGTAAGTCAAGGACTACCTGTACTTTATCACTTTTTTTCTTTTTTTTGGTGATCAAGTTTTTGACACCTTGCTAGGCGACTGGTGGTACTTGGATATTGCCATATCCTAAAAGTGGTACAATGAGTGAAAAGGTTGAAAATCCCTGATTTAAGGAATTCATCTCTCTTAGAATGACATATATATTCAGAATCTTTATGTGAGGCCTTTGCCTTTCCATATTTCTTGAAAATGTTTTTCTCTTTCTCCTTCTTTGCTTCTCTTATCACTTCCTTTCTTTCTGATGTTTTCAACATCTCTACATTCCATTTTATTCAAACTGCTTTTTGGTCCTCAGATTTATTTTGTAGTCTTAAGGGATGAGTTGTTTTTTCCATTTCTTGTAAATTTTTTCCCAGTAGGATTAAATCATGTTTTCTTGCTTTGTTAAGTTCCATCTTTGAGTCTCTATTTTCAATTTTATGTCCACTTATTTGCTTAGTCTGCTCCTTTTCTGTTATTGTTTCCTGGAAGTTTTTTTGTTGTCAAGTTAACTTAGAGATAGATTAATTTGTATTTTCAAAGTTATTTTGGATTTCTTTGTGATTTGAACTCAGTGCTATTTGAATTAATTGCAGTATACTATATATCTCCTCCTGAGAGGTACTTACATTTTCTTGGTGTGTTCTGTCTACATGTATCTGATCCATGTTGGCCAAAAGTTGGAGTTTTCCTTCTTATCTGCAAATAGCGGTAAAATAGATATTTATAATCCAAAGAGTTCAAAAAAGATTTTTTTCCTAAAGTTTATAATTCTCTGTCTGCAGCCCAGATTGTTGTCTTTTTTTGTCACAGCTCTTCTTTATTATTAAAACTTTGAAGGTCACACAGATTAGCTTTTCCCAGATTTTGGCAAATTCTCTATGGAAATCATAGCTGTCATAATCTACATCCACCACTAGGTGTCAGCATCTATTTAGTTTTCAATATGAACAATGGTCTTTAAAATGAGAGTCTTAACCATTCAACAATCTTAAACTTGCCCAAAGCTAAATTTTAGTTTTCAAGTTTATACATTTATTTCACTACCATATATTTTGATCCTCCACAGAAATTTTAATTCGCCGCTTCAGTTAGTATAAGGATGGGGCAAAGTCCCCCTCCTTCACTTTCGGAGGTATTTTGCTTCTTGGGGATCTTTTCCAGGAAATTAAGTGTAGAACAGAAAAGGGAGAATCAGATTCCTCACCCAGTTTCAAGCATGCTGTTTACTGTAGTGCTGGTTAGTTCTTTTGGATTCCAGTTGCAAGTAGCTTGGGCTGATCGATGAAATACAGCCTTTCTCCTGTTTGGTTAAGAAGGCTTTCCCCAAAATGAACAGAACGACCGCCGTCATTCCAGAGTCGCCGGAGCACCCTTGTTTCTTCACTGCCTCTCTAAGGCGGCTTGGATCCATTAGGATCTCTAAGCAGGACAAAAGTTGGCTGTGGGGGTGTGGCGGTCCACAAGCCCATGACCAGTTGACGGTAGCTAATTTTTTGTTGCCCAGGCCCAGAATGGACTTCCGGAAACAGCATACACACAGAGAACCAGTTGTTCACATATTTGAATCCCACCACTGAGTTTTACTTATTTAGTAAATTGTCATAATATTTGAATTGTGATTTCAAAATCCCTCTGCATCAACAAAAACTAACAGGTCAGAAACAAAGTCTGTTATTAACTCAGCATTGAACTACCACGGTCCTGAAAGAGAAGTTATCTAGGCAGAAGCCATCAGATTTCGCTCTCTTGGCAGAGCAGAACACACTCGGGGAGAGCGACTTTCACTTGCACTCTTGCAAACTACATTTCCCAACATGCTTCGCCGTCTATTGGTGATGATGCACTGAAGAGGAGGTACTGCGAAAGCTCCTTGCTCTGTTGTCAGCTCTTAAAAAGCGGTGATTGAGCTGCGAGGGTCTCTCTCTGCTTCGGAAGGACATTCCTGCTCTTCCAGGCGACCTAGATCAGAGGGAAGCGAGGAGGCCTGCCTGCGTGCTTGCCGTGTGCATTGGATAGTAAGGAAGGGAAGGGAGCGGAGAACTGGACCCTCCTGCTTCCAGCAAAAAGTAGGCAAAGGCACAACGCGGGGGGAGGGGTTGAGTAATAGTAAACAAAATTAGGAACGGAGAAGCGGACAAGAAAGCGAAATTTAAAATGTGTGTCCCAGGAGTAAATGGGTAGACACATAACGGTGGAAGAGAGTGTGCAAAGCAAATGGGACAAAAACATTCCTATTTGTACTGGGAGAGAGGTGCATAGATTAAGGACAACTATGGGGTTTTTTCGGGGGAGAGTGAGTGAACGGGCTTGAAGGACGGAATCTGGTGGGGTGGATAAGGAAGGAGGACAGTAGAATTTGAAATGTTAGCAATAAAAATAAAAGTTAAGTGCCTGCCGGTTTTCAGAGCCTCAATTAAGGGAGTAAAGTTTGTAATAAAGCCAATGTGAAACAATATGCTAGGTACATACAAACGTACATGCACATTTTTTGGTGTCGGAGCATTGCACTAAAGTTAGATGCTGGGAATTATGTATGCTTAAAATTCCAGTATTACATTTTGGCCCTGAGTTTTAGTCTGCGTATGCCTGGAGAAGGGCCAAATATAGACTGATGAAGATTGTAGTTTAAGACTAAACTGATAGTCTCAAAAAACGTGGGGGATTAGGATAGAAGAAGAATCTCTACAAGTGCTAGAAATAAAACAAAGTTTCATTATTTAGTTACAACTGTAAAAAGATAGCTCACCAAATGTATTCTAGAGGGGTTTTTTGCACCAAAGATGGTTAGAGGGGAAAGTATGCAACAACCTGGAATATAGAACTGAGTATATTACAGACTTCTTTGATACACCAAATTTCTGGCACCAGAATTAACAGGGTAAGATTTTCAAGCAAGAAAAATCTCAAAAGAATGAGTAAGATATTTCCCAATACAGCACATTAGGTTGTAATATTTTGAAATAATTTTATCATATTTGGACCCCCCCACCCCCATTAACCATCATAAAGTCAAAAATCTTAACATTTGTATTGCTAGCGATGCTCATGCCCTTTGGTCGCCTTTTCCAAATACTATGGGTTTGCTAAAGTTTCTAGCTCCAACAACCCCACTCTATTATATTTGCCTGCCTGACTTGCCCTGCTAAGCTGTTGAATCTAGTCAATTTCAGGTGGACCCAAAAAACTAGATAAGAACAAACTTCATTAGACTTGGATGGGAGACCAACAAGAAATACCAGGTCTGTGGTTTACACTGGGAAGTCAGTAAATTTCCCAAAAGGGAATAGTAAACCTAAAGTAAATCATATTTTTGCTGAGAAAACTAAATGTTTAAGTGAAGTCACCAGAAGTTGATCTTAATTTAGAGGAGACTGCTTTTAACATTTGGCTTCACATATATTGAACTAAACTAAAAGATCTGAAAAGACCAAAACCAGACTTTAGCCTCCCTTAATTCATGATTTGCTATGCTTTCTCATTACTGTTAGATAAAATGCTCCAAAGCAAACAGTTGGTATTCTCCCTCCCTCCCCCACCCCAATAACAGGTAATAGATTTCTGTCTCCAAGAATGAATATAGATCAATAGATTAAGATTCAAATAGCTGAATCTTAATCTGTGGAATCCTTAAAAGCACACTGAGCTTGTTTGTTTGCAGCTGTTTCATTACCTGGCTAGATAACATCAGTGCTCTAATCAGTGCATTGATGATGTTACTTAATTGTGTAATGAAACATCTGCAAACAAACAAGCTCAATGAGCACTAAGGACTCCTCAATTCAACCCTGAGCTACATATTTTCTCTTCAATTGATCTTTAATTTGGCACTGAAGATATTAAGATAAAGTTTGGGAGGAGTAAAAAGAGTATCCAAAACAAGATAGAATCAATCTACAACATAATATGGGAGGTAAAAATGAAGGTTTACCTCTAGCAATTTATATGCCTGATATTTAATTCAAACACATTAACATTTAAAAAAAAAAAAGCTGAAGAACTACATTAATGAAACTACAGGGAAGCTTCATTGCAAACTAATGTCTGCTTAGTTGAATTTTTATTTAAAGCCAAGCAGAATAAAAATTGGCTAAATATAGTAGAAAGGCTATTTTGGGAACTATATGCTGGAGTTTAAAAAAAAGAAAGAGCGATTGGACATAATAGTTCTCACCCTGCTGTAAGAACAATGCCTAATCGGGAACCTCTTAAGAGAGTTTTCAAAACATCCTGTAAATAGATATGATGAGTGAATTGGAGCAGGACACACACCCTCACTCAGTACCACCACCATTACTCTGAAGTATTATTTCTTTATTGGACCTCACCCCAAAGGAATAAGGTGGTAGGAATTTAGAAATAGTAGAGAATTATTGCATCAGACTGCAAGTGTGGGATTACCTTCTTAATGGTCTCTGCTGAGAAAGAATAGAAAATAAAACTGTCGAGATTAACCAGTTAGACTGTTAGACCTTTTCTTCTAGTGTGCTCCGTAAAGCCAGAGCTGCAAATGCTGAAGCAACAGTGTCCACATTTCTCTGTTCAGTATGTGGCAGAACATTCTGTGCTAACATCGGTCTCATCAGCCATCTACGGACACACCGTTGATGGCCCACAATCCACAAGATGTCAAGGTCTTCATTGAAAATCGATGGACGAACAACAACAGCTATGCTAGATAGTTCCTTGCAAAGTGGGGGGGGATGTTTTTCAGTGTGGGAAACCATTTCAAAATCCCCATGTGCAGCCAAAAGTGATAGTTTATTGCCTGAAATATGCCCTACAACAACAGCATCACCTTTTGTGGTTTGGTCAGAATGTATAAATTGAATGGGCAGCCCTGAAATGATTAAAATGGCCATCATCCATTTTTGCAGGTCAAGTTGGTTTGGTTTTGTCAGTACCTAATTATTATTGTTACTGGTAGTCTAACACGGCTAGTTGATCATTCTAGTGCTTGTCTTTTGGATAACCTAGTTTCACTTGGTGACTAGGATAGTTATTCATTTTGATTTTGGGACACAAAAACGTAGCCAAAAACTTAGCCTGATTTTATTCCCAGCATTTGGCAATTTTTCAAAGGCTGTCTCCTTACAGATGATATAGAAAGCCCTGCCAGTATGGGTCCTGGATATTGGATATATCCCTTACATATCTATCCAAAATTCATCTTGCTTGAGGATACTCTTTTGAAAGCACGGTAGTCAATTTACCAGACATTTGCTCCATGGCAATCCAAGAGAAAGATGCTCCCAGTTTAGATGCCTGATGATGGAATTTCCTTCCTGAAAATTTGTCATTGCTGCCAAGCTTTGTTAACTTGAGGTGCTAACTAAAGAATGACCTTTTGGCTTTGTCTGAACTTATATTGAGGAAGGCTCTCTAATTAAAATTGCATTTAAAGCAACTGCATTAAATCATGACAAAATATTCCATTCCAGCTAAGGCAGCTGAACTGGTCCTTCAAACAATCAAAAATCAGAGTGTGCAGAGGGGTGGGGGGGCAGGTAAAGTGGAGAGGTCTTTCTTAAAAGCATTTGCTCAACAAATAAAGAAGAATGTCAACAATCAAAAGTTTCAGTTTCTGGCTAAAGTAAGCGCTTGAATATTCAGTCTGGATATTCTTGACTTTTGTGGCACTTACTTGAAACTCAAGTTGTGCAATTTAACAAATGCAGAGCCAAAATATTTGGCCAAAATATTTAATATGAATGCAAGGAGACCAGCTAAACAGAATGTTAAAAGACCTTTTAATCTGTGACTTGCACTTATATTATAAAGTTCACCTGCTCTGTTCTATTAGCAAGATGACTTGATAATTTCAAAAACAAACTGAGGTAGGGATCACTCTGGATATAATCTCAGTTCCCGATCACTTTATGGAGGGAGGGAGCTCCTTTTAGGATAGACCAGGAATGAGTAAAAGGGCTGTAGTTTGCTTGCTATATCAGAATAAGATAAAAGAATACAGGCAAGCTTAAGTTATATAAGAGGATGAAATACAATATGTTTCTTAGGATTACCTCTTGTTCCTTTAAATGTTTCTTTTCAATGACTATACATAGTTTTATTATTTGGGGACACAATGAAATAAGATTTGCATTATCAATATTCTCTTAGTGGAAAATCTCCAAACAAAATTTAAATAGATAGGATCAGGACTTTTTTTTTTTTTTGGCAGATTTGCTCCCCAATATAGATTTACAGTATGTCCTAAGGTTCTAGAGCCTTTTAATGTTATTTCATTTATCCCTTGCTACATAGACTTCAACAAATGGCATATATGCTGTTGAAATGTTCTGGGATGTTGATTGTATTTTTGTTTCCAAGTTAAACATGAACATACACAGTACAATCTCCCTGAGGACGTTGCTTCCCTCTGAAAATAGTCTGCTTCTAACTCCCTGTTCCATGAAATCTGAAATGGATGTTTCTTCACTCCTCCAGCTTTTCTTGCAATGCTGAAAAGGGGTAAATTCTTGGTGAAAGTTTAGACCACTGTTTCTCAACCTTGACAATTTTAAGGCATGTGGACTTCAACTCCCAGAATTCCACAGCCAGCATTGCTGGCTGTGGAATTCTGGGAGTTGAAGTCCACATGCCTTAAAATTGTCAAGGCTGTGGAATTCTGGGAGTTGAAGTCCACATGCCTTAAAATTGTCAAGGTTGAGAAACACTGGTTTAGACCAACATTTTTAAAACTTTGAACAGACACAGGATATACCAGATTCCATAATCTTGCATTTCTCATTGGATCTCTTTAACAATTCTCTTGTGAAGAAAATAAGAGTGTATAAATACTACTTAAGAGCAGAAAGAATTATTTTTCACCATTTAGTTTAAGTTTCCAGCCTCCTCTAGCTTCTAGTCACTGAAAATAAGCCAAGTAACTTCAAGCACAGTTAAGTACTATAATTGGTGTAGTTCTCATCCTATCCTTTGATGCAGCTGCAAATACAGCACTTATTTAACAAAACCGATTTTAAAATAATCTAAAACTGGCAAAAAATTTAAAAAAAGAACCATAAACTAACATTAAAGTACTTAAAATCTGTGAGTATTGCGCAACATTCCCCTTCTAAGCCATGAATTTATAATGTATGCAAATTTGAAAGAGCAAAAGAATACATTGATTTGGACACTCCAGGGATAGTTTGCTTCCAGTCCAGAAGATTAATTTCTGAAAAATTGCCAGCCCTTCTCCAGAGTAATGTGGTGATGGGTGTGGGAGGGGGAAGAGAACATGTCAGTTCTCCAGTACATTATATTATTGGGGAATAGATATTGTATATATATTGTCATATCATCTGTCATTCTTCTTTCCTAAAAGAAGAACTATTAATTACAAGCACTGATGATGATACCTAATTTGTGTAATGAAATGTCTGCAAGAAAACAACCATGCTCAGACAGTACCAAGGACCCTCAGATGAACTATTAATTTAGCAAAATTTCCCCTTTCCACATCTGCTTGCTGAAGCCAGACCATAGCATACCAGAAGCCAAAAAAAAAAGTATGGGGAAAGTAGTGTAAAGGTACAATCACCTTAAAGAAAGTGACAAATTATGTGATATATTGTTTCTCCCACGAATACATCTTTTCTCCCCATTATCATTTCTAATTAGCTACACTAAAGTCTTAATAGAAGGAACACCGCCTCTTGAGGGCTAAACAAAAAGGTTGAATGAAATCCCAAAAGAAAGAAGTGATAAACAACTTAGCACAAACATCTGCACAGGTAGTCATTAGGAGTCAATCTCAAACTCCATCTTTTCTCCAGCAAACCCTGGTAATACATGTTCTCCACAGGCAATGATGCTACTGTATCCTCACATTATTTCCCCATCTGCTTTGAAAACCTTGATAACAATATTTCCATAGACAATGATGTTACGTGTTTTGAAAATTAATTTTCAACTTCAATTATTTGTATTAAAGGAAGCCAGTTAATAAATACTTTTACCACAGCCTAATAATAGTAATAATCTCCAATGTTCTTTTCCATCATTACCATATGATTACCTGGGACTAACTACCATCTTTTTATTTTCTTTTTTTTTTTAATTTTTTTTTAAAAGATGGACACAACTTCTCATCTCCCAACATTCATTCCCATTGAAGCAAAAGGGAAAAGTTGTAAAAGAAAAGAGCAGCATTTTGACATTTCAAACGTGATGTGCACTGAATTTTTCCCAATGGCCTTTGATGTTTGGCTAATAGAACATCAGTATGTCTCCTAAGTGGGAAGGCATTTGCAAAGATTTGAATGAAATAAGCTTTAATGCTGTGCCTCCTCTCTAAAAGTTATTTGGCCCAGCTGTTTCCATTGTTGCAATTCTGTAAACTGAATTGATGTAGATATATGCTTAAATTATATTGCCCAATTAACTCATCTTCTTTTCAAACTTCTTATATTTCCCCAAGGTGCTCCGGATGGAAAAGGTCACATGAATCAATAGCTATGTGTACGTGTGCCTATTGACTCAGTAAGTGTCTTTTAAAACAGGTTCATTATCATTTAGAAATAATAAAGGGGACTGCTTGACCCTTATTTACTTGTTTTAGCATAGTACCCATCTGGACAACCAACATGGTCCCCAACATACTTGGAAATATCTGCAAGAGGTGAAGATGATATGTTTCTGGGTCACATCATGTTTGATTATTGCGTATCTTGTCTTTCAAAATTCCATTTTGACCTGCCAAAAAAAGACTGGGGCATTTGCTGTTCACTGACTGGCAATCATATTCCACAATCTCATATTAGAATATTTATAAGACCTCCTATTTTATATAAAACTAGTCATGTTCTCCCAAATGGACCCTCCCAATCTCTGAAGGTGAAAGTGAGTAGCCAGAAGGTTTTGCTAATTTCCAAGAATGTAGTAGCTCAGATAATTTTTGATGTTTCTCATTATGCCCAGGTAACACAACTATTCTATAAATTGTACTGGCTCCCAGTAGGTTTCCAGGTGTGATTCAAGGTTCTGGCTATCATTTGTAGCCCTCAGTGGCATAGGATCGAGCTAATTGTGGGAGTGCTTTTCTCCCATTGTTTCTATTCAGCTTTCCAGAAACAGCAGAGAGGGCATGCTCTGGGTCTCTTCTATCAAATAATATAATCTTGTTGAAACCCAGAGTTGTGTCTTCTCAATGGCAGTACCTGCCCTATGGAATAACATCCTCCTGGAAATTTGGGTGGCCCCAACCCTATTAGCTTTTCATCAGGTATTTTGGGTCAAGATGTTAGATGAGCTCTAACATTTGAGAAGAGTCATTGTTTTATATTGTTTTATATTGGGGGGGTTGTATACTGGGCGTTGTATACTGTGGTTTTCATGCTATTAATATTTGCACACCACTCAGAGTCATCTATGTGACATGGGCAACCATATAAATCATATTTTAAAAGAAAGTTATTTGTAAGACCATGCATTGTCTTATATCCTTTTTATTCTCCCCGTTTCTTATTTTAACTAGAAAGAATGTGAGATCAGGTAGGACCATATAACTTATGAACATCATATTGCAGGTAATCTTAGAATGGGAAACACTTGTGGCTTCCTAGATGTTATTGGACTCCAACTCCTTGTCAATCCTGATTATTGTGATTCATAGTGAAAACAGAGTTAGCTCAAATTCTAGAGGACTACATATTCTCACCCTTGTATTAAACCACAGTTGACCTTATGTAGACATTCCAGAAGAGGAAGAAGGAAAGGATCCATGTTCAGGTTTATCACTTGTCTGATCATGCTAAGTTAGTTATCCCAAATATGTTATCTCCCATAAGTGATTGATGCCAGATCCCATCATTCCTTGCTAGCATAGTTAATTGGGAGTGGATATCCAGAATTTATCAAGGACACTAAGTTGAAGGGAATGCTAAACTTTGGATCTGAATCAAGGCCATGACAGGATGTTTTCATCTGTAAGATAAAGAAGTAAATGTTCTTCCCTTTGAAGAAAAAAGTTTAAGCTCCTAGTACCCTTGGCACATACCTTATTTTGACAACTAAAGCAATGATACAAGCTTTCTGCTTTCCTTACAGGAATGAATTATGTAACTAATAAGTGATTGCCCTTTTGAGTTAGCCAGTGAGGAGTTTATACAATCGTCAGATGGAGCATGGTGTCACTTGGGTGAAATGGATTTAAAATAATTATTCATTACCTCATTAAATACAAAGATGGAGAGAAGTCCAATTTAAATAGCAGAATAGACCTGTGGATAAGGAATGCTGAATATTATTTGACATATTTTGTCTAGCAGATGTCATTTTTGTTATCTAAGCATAGCTGAGGAGAAAAACTATGCAGGTAGAAGATTTTTTTTTAATTTTCACAATACATGCTCTGTTTCTCTGAGAAATCACTTTGCTCCCTTCCTTACTTTTTTCTGTTTAAACAGAATTGCTGCTGTCACATCGAATTCTTTCTTAATATATCTGTCCTGTCCTGCCAGAGAGGTAAGCAAAGATGAAAGTTTGTGAATTTATGGATTACTTAAATAATTTACAGAAAACCTGGGTCAATTGGGATTGTAGAACCAAGCTATAAAACCTTAACAAGAATTCAATCCAAATATGCCTCTCTTTATATAGGTAGGCCTCAACTTACAACCATTTGTTTAATGTTTAATTTGTTTAGTGGCACTGAAAAAAATGACTTATAATTTACAACCATAATGGCATCCCCGCAGTCATATGATCAAAATTTGGGTGCTTGGCAACTGGCATGTATTTAAGATGGTTGTGGTGTCTCAGGGTCATGTGATCACTATTTGTGACATCCCCAGGGACTTCCAACAAGCAAAATCAATGGGAGAAGGATTATTTAAAAAAAAACATGTTTCATTTAACAATTGCAGTGGTTTGCTTAACAATCATAGAAAAAAAGTCATAAATTGGTCACTTAACCACCTTGCTTAGCAACAATTCTGGTTCCAACTGTGGTCGTAAGTCAAGGACTACCTATATCCAGAAGAAATTAGTAACATGGATTTTGCACTCTGCGGCAAATGGAAACCAAGCTACCAGGTGGCCCTGGAAATGTAGACTTTACATTTTTCTTCTTTGCATTGATCTGTGTATACAATAAAATTGATCTGTGTGTTTATACAGTACAGTGTTGCAGTCATCAGTAAAATAAAATTCCACATGTACACATTTAAAGACTTCATAACACTCTTTCATGGAAAGTTTAATTTCTATAGCTTGCCCTTTTCTTCTCTGAGTCCTTTAAACAAATAACTCAAACATCCCTGAAGTTTCAAAACTTTATAGATTTTACCAAAATATAGAAATCTACCATGGCAATATCTCCTAATGCAGAGGTGTCAAACTTGCAACGTCACGTGACATATCGTGACTTTTTTTCCATTGCTGGCAATGGGGTGGGCGCGGTTTCACCATGACGCATCCAGCCTGTGGGCCGGCAGTTTGACACCCCTGTCCTAAAGTGATAGAAGGGAGTTCCTCTGGATAAAGATATGCTTATTTAGCCATAATTCAAGTTAGAGAAAGAAAGGATTGACTCTGCATATTTCTGGAACTTTTGTCCTTTGGAAAATTTATGCTTCTGGAACCCTGTTCCTATCTTTTCGCAGTTAGTATAGCAACAAAAATTCTTCTCACAGTCAAAAATCCGTACACATCGTTATCAACTACTAATTTTTCAGCTGGATAAAAATGGAGGGAAAAATCACTAGGCCAGTCTGAACTGGAAATAGGCCTAAAAAATTAGATTGATTTTAAAAAGTTAAAATAATGAAGTTACCATCTGGATGAAGCTCTATATTTGAAATCTCACTGTTGTTAAATAATCAAACATGATAAAAGGTCCAGAGCAGTGGGAGAAGGAAGCATTTTCACTTGTAATGCCCCCACCCTCTCCTTTTAGTAAATTCCTACGACAAAGGAGAAAGCAAAGGTAAAGATGCCTGGAAACTACCAGGACTAAGCCTATATTTAAAGTTGAGCATTTAAAAGCTATGGACCATGTGATACATAAGATCTGATTGCAACCCATTAGTCCCAGAAACAAATAGAAACTGTTTTTGAAAAAAAAAAGAACTAGGACAATCTCCCAGGGAGAACAGAAGAAGAATGTATGCAATGCACATACCAAGAAAAAAATACAGCTTGCAGTTTTATTGCATATTAACTTAGATAAGTGCTAATCTCCATTTACAGGGCTATTGTAGAAAGAGGACAAAGATTTGAATAGTACAAAATAGACCTGGCCCAGTAGTACAGCATGTGCTTTGTATGAAAAAGATCTTTGGTTAACCTCCTGATATCCTAAGCATCTGTCTCTTGCTTTAGTAATGGAAAGATATGATGGCAGGCTGTTTACATGTTGAATATGTGACATGTAGCACATCAATTACTGTCTCTTAAAAGTTAACTCTCAGTGGGGTGATAGATGTGCTTTGACTCTAAAATTGCTCGTATATCAGGTTAAGTTCCTTTCATAACCATCTATCCAAATAGCTCTTTTACAGCAACTATGTGCCAAATCATTTTTTATTCCTAGCAAACACATATTTTTCTCCATAAACTTTTGCACCTATTTGCTAGTAAGTACAAATCTCATTGTAAGATTATGCTTTGTGAAATACTTTATGGGGGGAAAAACAGTTCACCTTAATGAAAGACAAACTTGATACGCTGCAAGTGTCTTGTTCTTTTTCTTTAGTCCTTATGTGCTTGCTTTGTCTTCTCTGAATAAATAGTTGGTACAATCAGGCCCAAATTGATATGGGGACATGAAAGTCCTTGCTTTTAGCAAGTTCTGCATTCTTCATGTTCATTCAATTAAAGTGTTGAAACAATATTGCAATGCAATGCAGTTTGCTCTGTTGCATCAGTTGTCATCCAAAGTGTTAAAGTTTCCCTTCCACTTCAGTCTTATGACATAGACACTATTGGCCCTGCCTAGTGTGAGATGTTAATAATTCAGCATTTACTTTAGCTTCCAAACAACCTGCTTCAAAAGCCAATGCAAAGCATTGTGTGCTAGTGTTGAACTAATTAATAGAGAAACAGATGAAGAAACATATAGAATGTACAGGTGAACTTGCTAAAGCATTTTTTTTTAAATGGAGAAGCACAGGAGATCTAAATACACATTGATTATGTTGCATCTGGTTGATTATGACCCTGCCACTGCCATTTTGCTTCTATTCTTGTTGAATTGTGTCCAGCTTTGCCTAATCTCAATTTTTGCAGTGGTCTCACTGCATAACTAGAAAACAGCCTTCATGATGTTATAGTTTTCTTCTTCTGTATATCAAAGCCACCCAGAATCACTCAACTCCTTTACAATTTAGCTATTGGCTTAGATTTCTCGGGGCGCTTCCATCCCACATCATTTCCATTCCCCAGATGCTAACAAAGCAGTTTAAAGCCATCCTACATTCATCAAAGGAACTGAAAAAATTGTTTAGTGAGGGGGCAGCCTTACACTAGCATACAGAAATAAAAACATCACATATGATGCCCATGAATCGATGTAAACTTGCAAGGCATACCATAAAGCAGGCATGTCAAACTGCCGGCCCATGGGCCAGATGCGTCACACCGAAACTGCACCCACCGGATTGCCGGCAATGGGGAAAAAGTCATATGTCGTGCGACATCACGTGACGTCACGAGTTTGACATGCCTGCCATAAAGCAATCAGTGCTGTCCTCCAGCTGAGTAACAGGAGAGTAAAAATGTTTTTCCGTCATTTTCTCATCCACTGAACAATTGCACATTCTGGAGCCATAAAAATCTCTCACTTCTACCACATACAAAAATAAAATAAATTGTTAGCCACCTTCCCCTCCCCTGGAGGTTTTAGTTCACCATGTATGCATTTGTTTGGCTGTTTGGGGAAAAAAATGCTTTTTTCTCTGCAAAAAAAATGCCATAAAGCAACCAGTGCTCTTCTCAAGCTGAGTAACAGGAGAACAAAAATATTTCCCCATCATTTTCTTATCCACTGCACAATTACAAATCCTGAAGCCATTAAAATTCCTCACTCCCACCATACAAAAAAAGGAAAATAAATTGTAAGCCACCTCACTTGCTTTCTATGCATTTGTTTGGCTATTTGGAAAAAAAGGAGTTTTTCTTCTATAAAAATGCTTTCCAACTGCATTGTCATGTTCCCTCCTACATTTAAAAGACCTTTGCAAGCAATAATGATGAAATGGTAATGTTAGCATTTGCAATCAGGATCGTTACCTCTAATCCTGACTGATGCCCATACAGTAGGTGGAGAAGCATTCTAATTAATGTTTCCAGATAGGCACCAGGAACTGGATCCTGAAACCTGGAGCCAAGTTGAGGCAAGGAAATTAACTACTAAAACGCTTTTCAAAAGAGCTAGCTGCTTAACATCTGTTTCAAATAATTCCTTGATTGGAATGGGGGAGGGGAAGAAATGCTGATGCTTACAGCTGATCCAGAATTGATGCTAGAGCCAAAGGGGAAATACATACAGATTTCAAATGCTTTATGTTTCTTCCTTGGATCAAGATCCTGAGGGTTGTTTTAATGAAAGAATAGGTATTTCTAAGCATGGTATCCTCTCAGTGTAGAACCACAATTCCATGTCTAACTGAGAGTGATGGGATTTGTAGACCCAGTGCAATTAAACAACACAAGGCTGGGAAAGTGTTAAATCCCATGCCTGCTTTCTTTCTCTTCACTTTGGTATGGAGATGCTCAGAGCAGTGCTTTACATGCTCATTCCAGCTGTCAAAGTCTGTCTTGAAAAATATCAGGCATCAGTGAGACCTGTGAGTCTGATCTTGAGTTTGATATTAGAATTATTCCCTAACTCAGGGGTCTTCAAACTTGTCCCTTTTATGACTTGTGGACTTCAACTCCCAGAATTCCTCAGCCAGCGTGCCTGGCTGAGGAATTCTGGGAGTCGAAATCCACAAGTCATAAAAGGGACACGTTTGAAGACCCCTGCCCTAACTGATAAGGAAGAAAGCACATTTATAATATTCTTTGGCATGGTGAGGTTGCATATTATCTTTGACTAACCTTTGTTGCTCTGTGCTCTGTTCCAGGGCTGCTGCACCAGAAAGATGAATGTGGGCACAGCTCACAGCGAAGTGAACCCAAATACCCGAGTCATGAACAGCCGCGGCATCTGGCTCTCCTATGTCTTGGGAATTGGCCTCCTGCATGTGATTTTGCTCAGCATTCCTTTCTTCAGTGTCCCTGTTGTCTGGACTCTAACCAACCTCATTCACAACATGGTATGAAAGTGCTCTTTGACTTCACAAACAGTGCTTCTGCAACAGGCAGTGGAAGGAAGCAAAACTGTGGTTCTTTTCTGGGCTCTCTAAGCCAGTGATGGCGAACCTTTTAGAGACTGAGTGCCCAAACTGCAACCCAAAACCCACTTATTTATCGCCGGGTGCCAGATGGGTGGGCGTGGCTGTGGTGGTGGGCGTGCCACTGGGTGGGCGTGGCTGTGGTGGTCATGGCAGACTGGGTGGGTGTGGCCAAGGTGGGCGTGATCACCTCGATGTTGCTCATGGGGAGGGACGCATGTGGGGACCAGGCAGGGTTGGGGGAGATCCAGGGGGTCTCTGGCAGGTGGGGCGGTGGGCAGGAGGCTCGTCCTGTGTGGTGAGGCGAGGCAGGGTGGGGTGCCATTGTCGCAGGGCAAGGTGAGGCAGGGGCCAGGGCTGCTGTTGCCTGATACCATCAGCCCCTGCACACAGAGGCCAGCGAGCGCATGGGTGCTGGGATGCATTCGGCCATGTGGGACCTCGGCGAGTTAGCGGGCGGCTGGTTGAAGAGGGACAGTTGCCATCTCTGGGGCATGGCGCGCGTGCCCACAGAGAGGGCTCTGACTGCCGCCTCTGGCACCCGTGCCATAGGTTCGCCACCACTGCTCTAAGCGAAGGAATTAGGAAGCAACCACAACAATGGTTGCTGAAGTAAATTCAGGTGCAATTGTTGCAGAGCCCTGCAGCCAATGGGTATCTATCAGGAATCTATTTCCTGGACCTGAGTACTTCCTTGGAGATCTCATCATCCTCTATAGATTCCTGGGTCATCTTGAAAACTAGCCATACGTCTCAGCTAAACAGTTGCTGATTTGGGGCCTTTGGTATCATTCAGTGTTCTCTATATGGTAATACTAATTTAGGATAATGTGATGACGGGGTAATTATCTGGTCAAAAGGTCCATCACATCACCTGGGACAAGGGTAGCAGTGGAATAAGCTGAGTACATATTTGAAGCAGAATATTCACATATAAAGGTCTTTGTTTATTAAGTCAAAGCCCAGTAAGGTGTCAGAGTGGCATTCACACTGCTTTCTGTCATGCTTAGCTTAAACTATTATTTCCCTTTACAGAGAAAAAAAACAGTTTTTATTAGTTTGCAATATCAAGTTTGATGTGTTGGTGAATAATCAAGATTAATTCACATTTCCCAGGTTAGATACAGTAGGAAACAGTGATTTAAAGGAGAACTAGGAAGCCTGGAGATTTGCAGCCCCTACTCTCTTGCCCTTGGTTGAGTTGGTTCAGAAGAATTAATTAATGGCTGCTTATCCCTGTTTTGGGAACTATAATCATGATGATAGATTCACTAAGCCCAGTGTAGAAAGGACGAATAGAGTTAGATTGGTAGGATGTTAACTTGTCTTACAGTGAAATATTAAGCCATGGGTGTGTATCAGATCTGACTGATATACAGATGTTCACACTACCAGCCCTCTTCCTGGATTTATGCACATTTTATGTTACAGGTAATCCTTGCTTAACAACTACAGATGGGATTGGCAATTCCATCACTAAGTGATGCAGCTGTTAAGCATGATTATGACAGGCTTATGAGCTCACTTCTACCACGGTTGTTAAATGAATCATTCTGGATTGTTGAACGAATCATTATGTGACCACAACTTGCCATTTTACTGCTCTTTTCACTGTTGACTCTGCTTATCTGTGAAGTGTGCAAATCACAGGACCTTATGAGTTGTGAAATGATGGAATGATCACATAATCATGGAGACATTGTGATGGTCTTGTGAGAATCCATCATACAATTGTTTTTTCAGTGGTATTGTAACTTTGAATGTCTCTAAATGGTGCAATCATTAAGCAAGGATTACCTGTATATATGAGGTGGAGGGAGAATCAGCACCCCAAAAAATCTCTGTTATAAGAATAGGGGAAATAAGTATAAGTAAACCAAGCATCGTATCCAAATGAATTGCATGGAGAACATAAGGTGAAATGTAATAGAAAGTAATACATTAAAACTATAACAATGATGACCAGTTTCAGGGAAGTGGCTTTTTCCCCTCTTCGGTGATATGATCACATAAGCCAGTCATTTAAGCTGATTCGTATCTCAGAGTAATGTCCCCTCAGTTCATCTTTCCTGCAGTGCCAAGTAGTTACTTCAGCTGCAGACTGGGTGGCCAGCCTCATGGACATACATACTATGAGCCTGACCCAAAGAGAGCAATCAGTTCTCCATCTGGTGGCCTCAGCTACTTGCCTGGAGTTATTACTTCATTATAATAATATAATGACTGAGAATGACTAGGGTTCCTTCGCTCCAAACAGATTTCAGGTTTAATCGCACAGTATATGACGCTCAACTCAAAAAGTTAGTTTTTAATAACATAGGTTCACCCCTATGGAGATGCTCAATCATCCAGGGTCATGGTTATCCCAAAGGTGCTTTTTCAAGAGGTAATTGGACTTTCTTGTTTTTTCTTTGAAGAAATTTTGCTTCTCATCCAAAAAGCTTCTTCAGCACTGATTAGATGATGAGGAATGGAAGGATTTATATTCTTTGCAGACAGCTGGTCATTTGCATATAAATCCTTCCATTCCCCTCCGTATTGGGGGCAAGAATATTGAAAGAGTCTCTGTTTGTAGTTTGTATTACTTCACTTTTGTGGAATTGACTCTCAGCTGTTCATCTACCTGGCCAATCCTACTAGTCCATCATATAAGAATCTATGGCCAATTGGGCTTTTCACCCCAGTTGGCTGTTGTTGAAGGTGGAAAACTTAACTTAGGCTCCCCTGTTTCCCCACTAAATTGTTACATAATCTACAGTAGTTTTATTCAGTATTGAAATATATTTCAAGTACTCTTGAAATATAAAGTCGGCTACAAGGGGTGGATCTATCTATTATCCTACAACCCAAAGATTATACCAAAATCTCCTGCTCAGCAAAGGGCAGCTTTATTGCCAGAACATTTGCACCTGCTCAAGCATATATAATTGCTGCACACAGAAAGCAAAACATATTGCCATCTCTGCCTGGAAAGCAATACAAAAAAAATGGAGATGTATTACATGAATTTTGAAGTATATTTATAAGTAACAATAACAATAATAGAGTTGGAATGGACCTTTGAGGTCTTCTGGTCCAACCTCCTGCTCAGGCAGGAAACCCTATACCATTTCAGCCAAATGGTTGTCCAGTCTCTTCTTAAAAACTTCCAATGTTGGAGCATTCACAACCTCTGGACGCAGCTTGTTCCACTGATTAATTGTTCTAACTATAAGGAAATTTCTCCTTAGTTCTAGGTTGCTTCTCTTCTTGATTAGTTTATTTTTATTTATTTTTATTTATATTTGAATTTATATCCCGCCCTTCTCCCGTAGGACTCAGGGCGGCTGACAATCTATTTAAAATACATACAAAACAATACAAATTTAAAATTAATTAAAAAGAATATTAAATATTTGTCGAATTTAAAATATAATTAAAACCCCCCTAAAAATTACCCTAGGCCAGTCCTGCAAGCTGGAA